ACCCCATCTCCCTCATCCTCACCCTCACCCCATCTCCCTCATCCTCATCCTCTCCCCATCTCCCTCATCCTCATCCTCACCCCATCTCCCTCATCCTCACCCCATCTCCCACACCCTCACCCCATCTCCCTCATCCTCATCCTCTCCCCATCTCCCTCATCCTCATCCTCATCCCATCTCCCTCATCCTCACCCCATCTCCCTCATCCTCACCCCATCTTCCTCATGCTCATCCTCACCCCATTTTCCTCATCCTCACCCCATCTCCCTCATCCTCACCCCATCTCCCTCACCCTCACCCCATTTCCCTCATCCTCACCCCATTTCCCTCATCCTCACCCCATCTCCCTCACCCTCACTCCATCTTTCTCGCCCTCACCCCATTTCCCTCATCCTCTCCCCGTCTCCCTCATCCTTATCCTTTCCGCATCTCCCTCATCCCATCTCCCTCATCCTCATTCTCACCCCATCTCCCTCATCCTCATCCTCTCCTCATCTCCCTCATCCTCACACCATCTCCCTCATTCCCACCCTCTCCCCATCTCCCTCACTCCCATCCACTCCCTCATTCCCACCCTCTCCCTGTCTCTTTCACATCCCCTCGCCTGGGGATGTCTCTCTCATGAGTTGCCTCTGGTGAGGATTCTGGGGTGTGGGCGGGACAGTTGGGAATGGGGGGCTTTTGGTGTGGGAAGGGGTGGTGGGGTTAGGGGATGGGGATGTGTTTGGTGTGGGAAGGGGCGGTGGGAATGGGAGATGGGGGATGATGATGTGGGAAAGGGCGGTAGGGATGGGGGAATGGGGTTGTTTGGTGTGGGAAAGGGCAGTGGAGTTGGGGGAATGGGGTTGTTTGGTGTGGGAAGGGGGGGTGGGGATGGGGGCTGATGGTGTGGGAAGGGGTGTTGGGGAATGGGGGATTGGGGGTGATGGTTTGGGAAGGGGAGTGGGGAATGGGGTGTGGGGTTGTTTGGTGCGGGAAGGGGCGGTGGGGAATGGGGGGATGGGGGCTGATGGTGTGGGAAGGGGCAGTGAGGATGGGGGAATGGGGGTGTTTGGTGTAGGAAGGGGCGGTAGGAATGGGGAATGGGGGGTGATGGTGTGGGACGTGGGGGGTGGGTGGGGGTTATGTATCTCCCTCTTGCCCTTGCCCATGCCCCTTACCTGATGTGGAAATTCTGTACGTTCACATTCCGATATGGAGCCGTCTTGCGCTGGCACCAAAGCAGTAGACCCTCCTTGGCCGAGGTTTCTGAAAGATAGATCGTAGGGCATGGGTCACCATGGTAATTACAGCAAACAGCCTGCCCGTGTAGGCCTCAATTAATTCCCTCAGGCCTCCATAGACACCATGAGCCTCACCCAACTGCTTTACCACATCTTCCAACCCAATACCAGCTTAAAGGCTTCTCTCTCTGATCTCCGAGTCGGTCAACTCTCTCCTGAAATTCGAGTCAGACTTTTCCATTCCGCAACATTTCTTTGTTGATACCCGGACCTTATCGCTGACAGGAAACAACCATCTAGTGTTGTATCTGAGACCTCCCGGTATCTACATCTCATCTAGTAGTCACTCGGTCTCATACTGACATCTGACTTATCGTTGGATGTGATTATCACTTGTCTATCGCATGGATGGGCACCTCGCCACCCGGAGAACCCTCTGTATTATTCACCGTGTGAGGCAGTAGGTTCAAATCCCAGTCCAGGACATCAGACCGTAACATTGGCACCACGTTCCTTCCACTGAGGGTTTATCAGTTCAGGGGGCGGGGACACTCACACACCAATGGCAGGACCTCATGAATTAATCAAAACAATCTGCACCACACCTCCAACTAGTAACCCTGACCCTAACCCTAACCCTGACCCTAACCCTAACCCCAACTAGTAACCCTAACCCTAACCCTGACCCTGACCCTAACCCTAACCCTAATCCCAACTAGTAACCCTAACCCTGACCCTGACCCTAACCCTAACCCTAATCCTAACCCTAACCCTAACCCTGACCCTGACCCTAACCCTAACCCCAACTAGTAACCCCAACCCTAACCCTGACCCTGACCGTAACCCTAACCCCAACAAGTAACCCTGACCCTGACCGTGATCTTAACCCTAACCCCAACTAGTAACGCTAACCCTAACCCTAACCCCAACAAGTAACCCTAACCCCAACTAGTAACCCTAACCCTAACCCTAACCCCAACTAGTAACCCTAACCCTAACCCTAACCCTAATCCTAACCCTAACTAGTAACCCTAACCCTAACCCTAACCCCAACTAGTAACCCT